ACTATCTCCTCCTCGATCGGCTCCTTCCCCCGACGAGTCGACTCGCTACAGTGACCGGATGACTCGCCCTGCCCAGCAAAATCCCTGGCCTCAGCTCCTCCTTCTTGAGGAGCCTCGACTAGTTCTCCCAAGGTTGACTCGTCCAAATAAATAAGGTCAGTCTTGGTCATCTCAGCCGTTACTTTAGGTATCAGTTCCACATCCCTCTGCCTCCATCTATGGACGAGGGAGGGAGCAGGCTCCTCCTCGGCCATCTCGACCTCTATTAGAGGAATGTCTTGATGAGGATGCTTCATGGGCCTAGCAGACGACCCCTCATGGGGAGTAGCCAAAGGAACAGTAGGCACCATCACAGCTCCTACTATTCCGACAACAAGGGCTGAAGCCCTCTCATGATCCTGATCAGAAGGAGACTCAAGTGATATACTGGCAACCCATAAGACCGAGCTATCGAGCAGATGGTCGACTCTATAAGAGCCGGCGTATGCCTTGATCTGGTCAAGCGCATCCCTCTCGGCCTCAAGAAAGTCACCCTCCATGAGTGCCTCCCTTCGTATCTCTGGCCAATTTGAGCAGCCTAACTCTAGATCGTCCCCCACAACCCATACAAACTTCTCCTCCCAGTCCTTGTATGAGTCTGGAAGGCTGGTGATGAGCCAGAACTTCCCCACCATTTGAAAGTGGAAGTGGGGCTCTATCTGATTCACCTTCATGACCACCAGCCGGCCCAGGACCTATAGAGTGACTAATCACCACGAACCCTACCAAGATGGTGATAGCGTTCGGCTTCATCTACGCCGACGAAACCCCTAGCATCGTGAACACTTATTGGAGGAAGGGGGCAAAGGCAGCCACAACCCACATTCCAAGTGCTACAGATATAACGGGCCCCGTTCTAGCCCATGATCGAAGATAGCCTCTAACCTCGTCGGAGCCATCAGATCATACCCCTTGGGGATGTCAAACCTCTTAGAGAGCATCCTCATCTGGGACTGTGTCACTTTAGATTGAATCCCTGCCAAGAGAGCTCTTCGATCAACAGGCTCAAATGCCATCGGAGATTGCAGAGATGATCGTCGGAAAAGATGTGTGGGAAATTTTTAAGTTCTCTGAAGGAATTTGAAAAGGCAGTAACCGCCATCCCTCTAGCTTTGGTTCTATATATAGGCAGCTGACTTTACATCTGCCAAGATCAGAACCGTCGGATCACACTCCAGTCAACAAACAAGTTTAATTTTAAGAATTCAAAGTGTCATCTCACGGATCGAGGCGTAGTCTACTCACCTCGAGTAGCCCGCAATCTGTCGATAAAAGTGGAGCTGTGATAGTCAAAAAGAAGGTGTAAGTGACGTCAGCCACGTCAATTTGACAAGACTTTTCAGTTCTCACATTTAAAGCACCCACGTCCATCCAAGGCAATTATTATTTAACTCGAACCCGACTAAAACTGACTCCAAGTGAAAGGGGCCAACTGTTATAGTGTTCTCAATTACCTAAGTGTGAACCTTTGCTAGCAACAGATAGGTTTACATCTACATGCAATGCCCCAATCACGTTGATAGCCGGAGACCAGCAAGGATGACAACTCACCCGACTTGTCGAGTTGACACTCCCTCATGTCGACTCGAAAGGTGGTACTTGTCGCCCCTTTTGTCGAAGACAATTCACAACAAGCCCACTCGACTAACTACTCGATGCCTCACGATGTTGACTCAAAAGTGTTACTTCTCGGCAAAGCTAGAGGATAACTTTAGCCTCGAGCCTCTCCTACTAACAACGTGTTAGCGTCGCATTTAAGGCTTGGCAGCAGGCACCACCTTACATTTACCACCGATAGTATTCATGACTCATCGGACCACGTCAGCACCGCCATGCCTCCGATCACTTCCCATTTAATGCCAAGATGATCTCTCCTCCAGTCGCTAGCCGACACCTGTAAAGCCCACATTTCTTCATCGCCATCTTGTGCTCGGCCACAATGATGGTTATGCTCCTTCGATACTACTATAAATACAAGGTACTATTCCATCATGAAGGGGATTCTGGTTTTTCGGCAAAATCAATGTCTTCTACAATTATATTGCACACACAAGAACTTTCATAGTTCTTTATTTTCCCCACTCAAGCTCACTAGCTGACTTGATCGTCAGAGGAACCACGGGGGAACCAGTCCTCGTCCTCTTATGTGTTTTTATATGTGCAGGCTTTTCAGTAACCTAACTCAGAGCCAGATATTGGGGGAAGGAAGCGGTCCCTCATCAACCTCACCCCTATCCTACTACAGATATTATTGACTGTGTGATCACTTGACATCAACAATTATGATATCCTTTTTAATTACTTCCGGCGAGTTCTCTTAGATCTTGCCTCTTAGATCTAACGCTAGATCTCTTTGCCTCATAAACTATAGTTAGGTTACTAACTATAATTAGGGGTGAGCAAATGGTCTATTCGGTCGATTTAAAATATTTTTTGTCAAATTGAACCAAATCGAGCTAGATTCAGAACCAATCTTAACCATGTCGTGAATTTTTAGCTAAAAAAACAAGACTATTATTCCTTCAAACTTTTATACATATCATATCTCGAAGTGAAGGAAAAACTCATCAAAGCAACAACTTTACGAACTAAAATAAAAAATATATATATATATATATATATGGTTATTTCGGTTTTAAATATTTTAGAACCAAACCAAACCGCTAAAACTCTGTCGGGTTAATCGGTTTGTATCGAACAATGCTTACTCCTAACTATAATATTATCACTTTTCCTAATTGGAGAAGCCTTCGTCATACATTACCAAAGCACTTTAGTCATTTCTCTTTATTTAATTGTCAATAAGAGTCATCTCTAATTTATTATAGATATACTTATATCTTATCATATTTTTTACTATATACCCACAAGACCAATGTAACATTCTCATTGTTTGCTACACTCATTTTTTGTACATAATGTTTCTTAATTGCCCAATATTATCGATGGGCAATATCATCCTCAATCTCACCATCATGACAAATGATTTGAGAGACAAATTTCAAAATATAAAAAATCTATTTAAGGGATTAATATTGAAAAAACCCCTTAGCTTAATAATTTGATTGGAGGTTACAAAAGTATGCTAATAAATTACCTCCAACAAGCAATCCATATGGTTCATAGGTATCAATTTTAACCTGGAATGACTAGGTTTGGTTCGTGGGCTCTCTTTCAATGGTGCTATTGTGTGTGTGTTTTTGTGTGTGTGTGTGGGTGGGTCGTGGGGGTGGGGGATGGTGTTGTTTCCCCATAACAGAAGTGCAATTTCTAAGAGGGTGGAGTCGAACTCGGATTGCCACTCTTGTCTAGTTTTCACTAACCAATGTCCCCTTGTAAAAGTTAAAATAAAATAATAATAATAATAAAATAAATCTATTGAGTGCTACAAATAATAGATTAATAGTTCAATTGAGGATACAAATCAATCTCATAATGAAATTGATTTAGAAATAAAAGAAAATTTCATCTTTTAAATTAGAGTTTCCTACAAATTCGGTGTAAAATTTTGGAACAAATTTTCGTTTTAGACTTCTTTATAAACTTATTTCTAAAAAATGACCTATTTTGAAAATATTTGCCAACTCCGACCCAGTTCTGGGTCGAATTTGGCGAAAAAACTTCACGAGACTTGAAGTCCCGTGAAGTTTAACCTCAACAACTTAATTAGGAGTGTCAGGCTATATTTTAGAGAATGCAATGCTTCAGCTCATCAACACACCTAATCTCATAGAAGCCCCCACAAGCTTGGCCGTTTTCATATAGAGCCTCACTCAAACCCGTTGTCGCCATTCCGTACCCGATGTTACCCAGATCCTCGTACCTGCAAACTCCTCCTTCATTCAATTAAGAAATAAATTGGTTAGTTTCCGTAAAGGTGGGGTTTTATTTGGGGTGGGGACTGATGTACTAACCTATGGTGTCACGTGGGTCGGCGGCGGCGTAGTAGGTGGCATGTGCGGAGTGCCACTCGGTGAAGGCGGAGGAGGAGTAGGAGGATGAGGATCGGTGGGCCGATACTGGACTCGATGGGCTTGATGCTAGGAGAACCAAGAGGGAGAGGAGGAGAGTCTTGGGGTTTTTGGATGTTGGGGATCTCATTGGAGAGAGGCAGAGCTCCGGG